ATAATACATATTTTGATAACTAATTTACAGTTTAATAATTTATTTAATGATCAGATATATAATATATTATAAGTAAAGTAAAGACACAAAAAAACAATATTATTATTGGCATCAAAACAAGTATTTTTAAAAATATTATTATTATTATTATTATTAATGTACTGTATATGACGTCTATGAAAATTATATAATAATATATTAATATATATTAATTATAGTTTAAATTATTTAAATGATAGACAAAAAAAATTAAAATAATAAATTATTCAAAAAACAAAAAAATTATACTGTATATTAAAACTAATAATTATAATTATTTATTAATATTATATTATATTTTTTAATGCATTAAGTTAGAAAATAATTAATAAAAATTATTGATTTTATAGCCATATAATATATATATGCAAAATAGTAAACAATTTTTTTATATATAACAATATACTGTATATAGATACAGTATATTATGTATATTTTTATGTACCTAATAAATAATTATCTTTTTTTAGGTAAAATATTTATTGACGATATATATATATAAAACAATTAATATATTTTAACTTTTATTATTATTATTATTATTATTAGTAAACATAATAATTACAAGATATAAATACAATATTTTATTTATCAATAATGTCATTATATTAATAATATAAATGTTTTCAATAATATACTATAAATAACAATTTTATTTACAATATTTTTACACAAAAAACTGATAATACAATAAAACACAAAAATAAATAAATAATTTGTTAATAATAATATTTTTATGTAATATAGTTAACTATTTATAAATAAATAGTTTTTTATATCGTTTATCTATAACAACAAATTGATTTTTATTAATTATATAATTACTACTATTATTATTATTAGTAGATTTATTAAATTTATGACATATATATTGTAAAATTATCTTGAACATATTTTTACAATAGCGTCGCCATATATAACTAAATATTGATATTTTCAACAACAAAAAAAAAAATTATAATTAACTTTATTATTGAATTAATTAATTTTTTAAATAATGAAAAATATATAAATACTTAATATAAAATTGCAAAATAGGTTTACGTAATTCCCATAAAAACAATATCATAGCAATAGTATAGCCTAGAAATATAGTCGATAGACATCCCCTATAAAAGTCGCCTAAAGTTATAATATTATTATCATCTAATGAAATGTCAGTCAATTGAAACTCATTTCCATCTAATATTTCCTTAACATATGTTTGAATGATTAGACTTAATATTATTGATCGCAACTGTGTTTGATGTCCTATTAGTTGACATTCAAATGATCGATGCATACTATGATATATAAATATATAGCATATTATATATATATATAATATTAATTTTATACCAACAAAAACAAAATTATTTAATAAACATATATATATATACAGTAGTATTGCAAGTATTGGTATATATATATACCCTATGTTGTATACATTTTGGGGGAGACTATTAGGGTTAGAGACAGGTATTACATTCAATTAGTTTATATATTAATAAATATCTTGATAAACCATATATACTGTATATTGAATTTAAAATTGATCAAGGGCATAATTTGTATAGATAATATTTAATAACTCAACATTATTCTAATTAATCAATTTTTTTTAAAAAAAATTAATTAATTAATAGTAAAATTATAATTAGATAATATAGCATCGACATAGAAAATAGTTGACTATTATCTAGTTAATTTTTCAATTAATTTAAAAAATGACAATTTTTTTACAAATTATGTACTTGGTCATTTTTTCAACAACAAAAAAATTGAATGTATGTTTAATTAAGATATTTAATATATATATATATATATATAAACTCCAATACCTGTCTCTAACCCTAAAAACTATTCCCCAAAAAATACATACACCATATCTATACCCATACTTGCAATACTATATACAGTACAACACCAAAAAAAAAATGATAAAATTTATAATACATTTTCCTAATGATTGGCCAATAGTTGCTACGTTTAGATACCGGATAATTGCCATACGTTTGCATATATTTCCGATCACTTCGGACCAAATGCGAGCCACGGAAACAGTCGACATACATCTGTGCCAATTCGGATGACATCAACAAAACCGTCCGACCATTAAACAGATCCATAAGCAGCTGATTGTTAATCCAATCCATATAACCGGTTTTCGTATCGATTTCTATGGATTCCTCGTAAGGTATGAGCCGAAAATATATGGATGCATATAAGTTAATGTCTAACGATCTGAGATCGGCCAGCGATGGTCGGCCGGCAATCATCAGACTATCGTCGGCTACCAAATCATCCAATGTATCGACCAATCGGTTGGGTTTTAGTTTGAAAAACGAGTTCAATAAAACACTTGAATAGGATTTGGCCATAAAATTGGCACAAATTATCCACAGAAATACCAGACAGTATAGCGCCTGGCGTTTGTAGACTAACTGAGTCCTGAAATGGGAAAACCGTTTCAAATGGACGTCCGTTTGGTTCAATAGTGTCCGATAAAACTCCATAAATATACTAATAAATGTTAAACGATTATTGCATAATAGTTTGATTAGATAGGCGTAAATTGTTTGTAACATTATTAGCATAATCCAACACTATAAAACAAATAAATTAATTAATTAAAAATAATAATTTTAATAATAATAATGTACTAATAATAATATACTAATAATAATGTACTAATAATAATGTACTAATAATAATGTATTATTAATAATAATGTAATAATAATAATACTGTAATAATAATAATAATTTAATAAAAAAATTTTATTTATAATATACTATATAATTATAATATTATTAAAAAAATTATATACATATATATATATAATATATAACAATAATTGTTTTTAACGTGTTTTTTAAAAAAAATTATAATTTTAATTTACAATACAATATATTTAGTTAGACAATGATTAGTTAATTATTATTATAAGTTAATTTGACTAATATATATATTATATATAATAAATATTTTAATAATTAATTTTTTTATTTATTTACCGTAATTGATAGCATAGTAAAATAGCTGAAATATGTGCGATCCTCTGTATAAATCAATGCTGAAATCATTTCAATTTGAAAATATTCATCAAACTGTATCATATCTGTATCTGAATAATTGAACTGGCTAAATTTTGTTGTAGATAAACAAGTACCATTTGCCTGGGGGTGGTGGGGGGGGGTAATTAAAATTTTATTATTACAAAAAAAACAAATTTTTATATAATATAAAATAAATATTAAATACAGTAATTATCAATATGAAATTATTAGCAATATTTTTAAATAATAATAATAATAATTAGTATTATTTATTAGGGGGTGGAAAATAAATATTAAATACAGTAATTATCAATATCAAATTAATTATTAATATTTTAAAAAAATAATAATAATAATTAGTATTAGTATTATTTATTAAGGGGGAATAAATATTAAATACAGTAAATATCAAAATATTATTAATATTTTAAAATAATAATAATAATAATTAGTATTATTTATTAAGGGGAAAATTTTTTTAATTAATTAATTATCAATACATACATGTATAGCATCGGCACAATGTTTTTCAATTGTAACATTCAATTTGTTTTCGCACATTAAATATTTTAGAAATGTTGCATCAAATGATGTAAAATGAACTTGCTAAATTATTTTTTTAATTTAAAAAAAATTAAATAAATAAATAAAAATAAAAATTATACATAATTGAAAAATATATATATATAGCAATTAATTACTTTTAGCATTATTTCTATATTAACAAAAAATATAATAATAATAATATCATACATCATGTCTGGCCATTGCACCGACAGCTATATTATCTATACATTCAATATGTTTGCCGCAAATTTCATCGATATTATAATTTTCATATGTTATCCATTCAATTGAAAATTTATTAAATAATGGTCGGGCATGACGTTCAAAATAACCCATTATTTATTATATGATATATATATACTATATATATATATATATATATTAATAATAAAATTTATTTAATTAATTTAAATTTAAATAAATAGTATGTTTTATTTTAAAAAGTAATGCAAAAAAATAATAATATTAGTAATAGTAGTAAATAAAAAATTATTATACAAGATATTTATAGGATTTATATAAATAGTTATTATTTTATTTATAATAATTATTTTTATAATAATAATACTTTTAGATTTATATTTTCTATTATCATATGATTAGTATTTTTTGAATATCAAACAATAAATTCATTGAATAAAAAATTATAATATTATGTAAAAATAAAGTTACATTTTTTTATGATACTGTACTCTACGGTACAATACATTGATTTAATATATAAACTTATAACTGAAAACCGATAAATTGATTTTATTTTTAGTTTATTTTAAATAGATTTATTTAATCATTTATTTTATACAATAATCATTAAATTCAAACAACAATTATAACAATAATATTAATCATAATATTAAAAAAATATATTAAGTAATAAAATCATTTAATTAACATAAATTTTACTAAAATATTATATATTTGAATAATTTCATTGAATGATTAAATATATGTATTGCTATATAATAAATAATTAATAAATATATATTATTATTGCAAAAATAAAAATAAAATGGATATTCAATATTAAAATACTAAATTATATTATTATAAATATTTTAATTTAATAGTAATTAAAATAATAGATTATTTTTATAATTAAAACTACTATACTGTATTATACTGTACAATATTTTTTTATTATTAAATAATTATAGTAACTTTAAGTATAGCAATATTATTATTATTACTTTATTAAAAATGTAATTAAAAAAAATATGTAATTAAATAAATACTTTTTCAACTAAAAGTCATGTGACTTAATATATAATTTTAATTACATATACTCGTAATATACTGTATATATATATATATATCGTATATATAAATATAAATAATAATAATAATAATAATGTCTGTAATTTTTTTCAAATCAAGTCATGCATTCAAAACATTTATTGATAAAATGCACAATAACTACATTAATGTTTACGATAGGTATCGGTATTTAATAGATATATATATATATATTATTTGCTATTTTAAAAAATAAATTAGATATATTACAAAACAATAAAGATAATTATTATAAAAAAAATAATTATATGCTATCCTAATTAGCTCAGGTATATGGCTATCGACAGGAAACACTGGAGGACAGGATGATTGATGACAATGATATCATTGATTATAGATATTCAAACGGTTAGCAAACAATATATATATATATATATATATATATATATATATATCTGTATATATATATCTGTGTATATATATCTGTATATATATCTGTGTATATATATCTGTGTATATATATCTATATATATATCTGTGTATATATATCTATATATATATATATATATATATATATATATATCTGTATATATATCTGTATAATATCTGTATAATATCTGTATAATATCTGGATATATATATATATATCTATATATATATATCTGTATAATATCTGGATATATATATATATCTGTATAATATCTGGATATATATATATATATATATATATATATATATATATCTGTATATATATACCATTAAATTTTAAACCTAACTGTTCATCCATAGATAAGTAAACTTTTTTGTTTTGTTTAATTGTTTTTGTTTTGTTTGTTAAATAAAAGGGATAAATAATAATAATAATATCAATGATATACCAGTGATTGATATATTCAATGATAACGGTTGCAACAATCAGGAGGGGGAGGACTGCTATAGTAGTATAAAGTCGTCGACAATTGTTTCATCAGATTGTCTGACAATCGATTCAATTGATGATAAATTGGTGACAACTACTACTACTACTACTAGTAGTAGTAGTAGTAGTACTGATTATATTGAACTTGGTGCAAAATCAATTACCAAAAGTATTTATAATTTTTTTTTTATATAAATAAAATTAATTTTAAAAAAAACTGTATTTAATTAACTAATTGAAGAAAAAAACTCTTCAACAGAATCTTCGACTGGAAAAGAGTTGACAACAACTGAGAAATTGTCGACAGATATGACAACAACTGAAGAATTGTCTGCAAGTATAACAACAACTGAAGAATTATCGACAGATATGACAACAACTGAAGAATTGTTGGCAGATATAAGAAAAACTGAAGAATTGTCGGCAGATATAACAACAACTGAAGAATTGTCTGCAAGTATAACAACAACTGAAGAATTATCGACAGATATGACAACAACTGAAGAATTGTTGGCAGATATAAGAAAAACTGAAGAATTGTCGGCAGATATAACAACAACTGAAGAATTGTCTGCAAGTATAACAACAACTGAAGAATTATCGACAGATATGACAACAACTGAAGAATTGTTGGCAGATATAAGAAAAACTGAAGAATTGTCGGCAGATATAACAACAACTGAAGAATTGTCTGCAAGTATAACAACAACTGAAGAATTATCGACAGATATGACAACAACTGAAGAATTGTTGGCAGATATAAGAAAAACTGAAGAATTGTCGGCAGATATAACAACAACTGAAGAATTGTCTGCAAGTATAACAACAACTGAAGAATTATCGACAGATATGACAACAACTGAAGAATTGTCGACAGAAATAACAACTGAAGAATTGTYGGCAGATATAACAAAATCTGAAGAATTATCTGCAGGTATAGGAAAAACTAAAGAATTGTCGACAGATATAATAACAACAGAAATAACAACAACTCAAGAATTGTCGACAGATATAACAAATTCTGAAGAATTGTCGACAACTGAGTCGACAACAGCAGAAGTGTCCGATCTTATGGCTGAAAACAAGAAGAAATCAGTGGAAAAACAGTCAAACAGTGACAGTGAGAGTGACATCAATACCACAGTGACAGTCAGTAGTGAACAGTAAGAAAATTATTAATATTATATAATATAAAGTATATTAATATATAGATAATAAAATAATTTTTTTAAATTTTTTTTTAAATATATATACTTTTAGAGACATAACAACAACAACAGATCAGTCATCAGACATCAGTGGTGTCTTAACAAAGAAGAAATCACTAGAAAATTACTTAATTAGTGAACAGTAATTAATTAATTTAAAAAAATTTATTTCAACCAAAAAAAATTACTAAATAATTGATTTAAAATAATTTTTTTGTGTATATTTAGTGAGACATCAACAACAACGACAACAACAATTGAATCGCTGATAACAACAGCAACTGATGAGACAAATGGTTTTATGGCAGTAGTCGTGAAAAAATCGGTGGAAAATCAAACCGGAAGTGATATCGTTGATGATATTACAGCCACTGATATTGAACAGTAAAAAACACAGACAAAACTTATATTAGTTATCAAAAAAAAATTTTTATACAAAAAATATACATATTTTTTAGAGACATAACAACACCAACAGATGAGTCGTCAGACATCAGTGGTATCTTAACGACGAAAAAGAAGAAATCACTAAAAAATTATTTAATTACTGATAGCGAAGAGTAATTAATTAATTAAAATTTTATTTCAAAAAAAAATTATTAAATAATTGATTTAATATTTTTTTTGAGTATATTTAGTGAGACAACAACAACAACAAAGACACCAACAATTGAACCGATGATAACAACAGCAACTGATGAGACAAATGGTTTTATGGCTGTAGTCGTGAAAAAATCAGTGGAAAATCAAACCGGAAGTGATATCGTTGATGATATTACAACCATTGATGATAAACAGTAAAAAACACAGACAAAACTTATATTAGTTATCAAAAAAAAATTTTTATACAAAAAATATACATATTTTTTAGAGACATAACAACACCAACAGATGAGTCGTCAGACATCAGTGGTATCTTAACGACGAAAAAGAAGAAATCACTAAAAAATTATTTAATTACTGATAGCGAAGAGTAATTAATTAATTAAAATTTTATTTCAAAAAAAAAAATTATTAAATAATTGATTTAATATTTTTTTTGAGTATATTTAGTGAGACAACAACAACAACAACAACAACAAAGACACCAACAATTGAACCGATGATAACAACAGCAACTGATGAGACAAATGGTTTTATGGCAGTAGTCGTGAAAAAATCAGTAGAAAATCAAACCGGAAGTGATATCGTTGATGATATTACAACCATTGATGATAAACAGTAAAAAACACATACAAAACTTATAATATGATAATAAAAATTAAAATAATTAAATTGTATTAAAAAATATATATTATTTTAGAGACATAACAACACCAACAGATGAGTCATCAGACATCAGTGGTGTCTTAACAATGAAGAAGAAGAAGAAGAAATCACTAAAAAATTACTTAATTACTGAAAGCGAAGAGTAATTAATTAATTAATTAATTAATTAAAATTTTATTTTTTAAAAAATACTAAATAATTAATTTAATAATATTTTTTGCATATTTAGTGAGACATCAACAACAAAGTCACCAACAATTGAACCGATGATAACAACAGCAACTGATGAGACAAATGGTTTTATGGCTGTAGTCGTAAAAAAATCAGTGGAAAATCAAACTGGAAGTGATATCGTTGATGATATTACAACCATTGATGATAAACAGTAAAAAACACAGACAAAACTTATATTAGTTATCAAAAAAAAATTTTATACAAAAAATATACATATTTTTTAGAGACATAACAACACCAACAGATGAGTCGTCAGACATCAGTGGTATCTTAACGACGAAAAAGAAGAAATCACTAAAAAATTATTTAATTACTGATAGCGAAGAGTAATTAATTAATTAAAATTTTATTTCAAAAAAAAAATTATTAAATAATTGATTTAATATTTTTTTTGTGTATATTTAGTGAGACAACAACAACAACAACGACAACAACAAAGACACCAACAATTGAACCGATGATAACAACAGCAACTGATGAGACAAATGGTTTTATGGCAGTAGTCGTGAAAAAATCAGTAGAAAATCAAACCGGAAGTGATATCGTTGATGATATTACAGCCATTGATGATAAACAGTAAAAACAGAAAAAACATATTAGTTATCAACAAAAATATTTATAATTTTATTTTTATTTAGAGATTTAATAACAACAACAATAAAAACCAGTGAAACATTGATAACAGATTTATCGACAAATCAATTGACAAATTGTATATATTTTTTAAGTTTTTAATTTTTGTTTGTTTGTATTTCTATTGTATATATCATTTAAAATGTACACAAAAAATATGATAATTAATTAATTTTTATAAAATAATATATTTTTAGCCATCGATGAGATAACCACCACAACAACAGATCAGACAAGTCTTATAATAGCTTTAGTGAAGAAAAAGTCAAGAAAAAGACATTCAGGCTATGATAAGACCACCGATGATGACGACGAAGACGACAACAACAACCGTGAGGACAGTCAACAGTAAACTAAACTAAAAAAATTAATTTAATTAAAAAAAATTATATTTTTTTTCTTTTGTTTTTAGAGACTTAACAACTATTGAACCACTGATGACAACAACGACAACAACGACAGATGAAACTGAATTTATTGTTAAAATGAAGAAAAAATCCATAAGAAGTTATAGCACTTCCGATGACGACAACACCGATACCGGCGAAGGTATTGAAGATATTACAGATCTTACAGATATAACAGCTATTGTTGGACTAAAAAGTAAAAAGTGTGTTATAATTAATAATAATAATAATACTAATAATATTGTATATAATTAGTTATTTTTATATATATATAAAAAATCAAATGATTTTTTTGTTGTTGATATAATAATACACTTATAATTATTATTATTATTATTATTATTATTATAACTCTCAGAAAATCTAAAACCATTTCGACAGATGATTCAACTGTAGAGTCAATTGAAGAGTCAATTGAAATAACGACTGAAATCTCAACCGAAGAGTTTAGTCACGAATCAACTGAAGACTCAACTGAAGAGTTAACTCAAGAGTCGACTAAAACATCAGCTGAAGAGTCGACTAAAACATCAGCTGAAGAGTCGACGACTAAAACAACGGAAAGTATGTATGAATTAATGTTAAATATATTTATATATAATTTTTTTTTTGATAATTATTTTAATTATTAATAATTTTTATGATAATTTATTATAAAAAACAAAAATTATAGCTAAAATAGACATTAAAACAATGACTACTACTACCGATGAATCAAATATTATGGCCATAATCGGCGACAAGTCATCAAATAAAAGTCATCATTTARACAATGATATACATAACGACATCAATGCCCTAAACCAGTAAATTATTAATAATTAATTATTATATATATATAWATATATACTTTCATTAAGAGATTTTTTTCTCCACCTAATAATAATAATTATAATTATATATATATATCAGGGTTAAGCAAGGTTTTGGATTTTATGGGAGGGGGGGGTGGTAGATTTTTATTGGATTTTTAAACAGCAATTTTTTCAAAAAAAAAATCAAGGGGGTGTCATTAGAAAATTCCCGAATATTCCCGTATAAATTCCCAGGAAAACTAGATAAATTTTCTCAAAATATAAATAATTTTTAAAAATTTTGATCTTAGGGGTGGGTATTTTCGACCTTCCCCCCCCCCCCCCCAATGCTTAACACTGATATACTGTATATATATATACTTTTATTTAATTATGAAATTTTTTTCGCCACCTAAATAATAACAATACTGTATATATATATATATATATATATATATATATAATAGTAATTCAACGACTAATGCGGAATCGTTACATAACGTATCAGTTGATGACATTGTCGTCGCTGACGATGACGGCGGAAGCGCTGATGGAAATACTACCACAACATCGACAACAACAACAACAGAGCCTCAAAGCAAGTTTGAAAAGTTAAAGAAATTATTTAATCAAAACAAACAACAAAAACAAACTGAWAAWMAAWTACMAGAAACTAATGATAATATCGCCAACAAAGACAATAATAACAATATTATAGATAAGCTGAAGACAAAAATCAATAAACTGAGTAACAGTATCATCGGTGGTGGTGTCGGCGGTGCTGGTGGTATAGGTGGCAGCAAATTGATGCCATCGTTGATGAGACGATCGCTGCTGGACTTCATCCGCCGACTCTATCATATCATGAAGAATGTCGTACTTCAGGATCTGAAACATATCGACAAACTAACSAAACATAAGAAGACATCGCCGGCCGCATTGGTGGCCGCMCGAAAAAAATGGCCAACAATTACGTACAGATGGCCAATGTTTCCYTRCAAATGGTCGAAAGTATTGACATCACTGATAAACGTTATCTACCGTCGCTGACCGTCTCGGTTAACGATACTATCGGTGCATTGAGAGCCGTCCGACGGGCCATCGAAACATCTGTCGGTAGTCTACGGCTGCARTTGAARGAAGCGCTGATCGRTAGCGATATCTTGGCCCAGGAAGGCGTCCAATTGGTGGCCGCCGTCTCGAAATTGATGTCCAAATCRCCGAAAGAATGGAAAGCCTCAGCCGACGGTACAGATCTGGTCGACCAGTTGTGCGAAGTATGCGATCAGCTGAAGGTGACAATGATTAACGAAGGAGTGGCCGAAAGTTGGATCAATTTGATGGCAAAACGTAGAGAAGAGTTGGATTTTTTGTAAAATAATAAATAAATTTTTTTGTAAAAAAATAATAATTTTTATAATAATATATTTTATAAGTATTTATTTTTTAGTATATATATATACAGTATATATTGATATTATATGCGATAAAACTGGTAATACTGTTAGTTAGTATTTAATTAATTATATAAAAATTATTTAGAGTTAAAATTTAAAAAATAATTTTTATAATAATTTTTAAAGTATTTATTTATAGTATATATTGATATTATATGCGATAAAAGTGGTAATACTGTTARTTAGTAATTAAGTAATTATATAAAAATTATTTAGAATTAAAATTTTATAAAAAAAATTAATTATTAATTTATTTTTTTCAATCAATAACTTATATATGATATTATTTGTTAATATACCGTAAGATCAATATATATTGTTTGATATATTAGCAGTTACTGTATATATATATATATATATATATATATATWTTTTAATTATCCAAATTAAATATATTTACAGTATATACTGTATATATATGAAATTTTAATCATTTTCATAAAACAATTAAAATGTTTATTGGATTTTTAATTATTAAATGTTTGAAATTAAATCGATAATAAAAATAATAGAAAAAAATTAATTATATTTAAATTATTTTCATAAATCATTTAATGTATATAAATGAAAAAATATTTTTGCATATAAACAATAATATTGAAACAAAATAGTAGTAGATAAAGGTGCTGATTGACCTTGAACTTGACCTCTAAGCCACGCCCCAAGGTCGTCAAGGTCATTCAAGTCCTATAAGAATGACGTCACTTTGATAAGGTACTCACATAAATAATGTGACATTGGAATTAACGATGACGACATCCTAATGACCATCACGGTCATCACTTTCTAATTTTAAATTTAATATAGTACTAATAATACTTCTATTGCATAATTGATTAATAATTACAACTACTTCTACTACTACTACTACTAAATAGCTTATTTCATTAATAATAAAACTACTACTACATTTCTTTTATTTCATTAATAATTACTACTACTATTACTATTACTATATATACCATATTTCATTAGCAATAAATACTATTATTATAAAAACTACTAAGCTTTTAATTCCTATTACTTATACTACATTGCTTACAATAAAGTAATAAAGTTATAAATTTTTGATACATTCTATATATTTACTTAAAATTATTATAAATTCTACTATTGTGTGTATATTTTATTAATAATAATTTAGATTCGTACTAAATTGCTTATAATTCATTATTTATATATAAAAGAATACTATAATAATGCCAAATGTATTTCATTTATAAATATATATACTAACAATAAAACACATGTATTTTACTAAAACTTATTTTAGACTAATATTTATTAATTTTACTATAATAATGTTTATATTTTATTAAAGATAACTTACAATTCTTATTCTTATTATATTATAATTATAATCATTTAATACTAATATTTTACATTTATTTAATAAATATTAATTATTCCATTGCAATACTTATATTTTAATAAATTTTTATTAAATATTACTACTACAGTCTCTATATTTTTCAATATACTACTAAAAATATTAAGATAATGTTTACATTTCAATAATAATTACTAATATAGTCTCTATTTAATTAAAGTTACTAATACATTTTTAAGTTATCTTATATTTTATTTATATTAATCTTTTAAATACTAATAAATTTTCTATATTTATTTTAAAAAATCAATAATATTAATATAATCCTTATATTTTAATAAAAATTATTAGTACATTGTTAATTTATTAAATATTTCTAATATTTGACTTATATTTACTAATTACTGATATGCAATTACTGTTATGTTAATTATTATTATACTTTAAGAACTACTAATGATAATAGAATGATTATATTTTATTAATTATTAATTAATTAATACTATTACTTCAACTACATAGTTTAAATCTAACTAATAATTACTATAAATAATTATAAAATAAGTATATTTTTAAATATTTATTATTAATGCTATTATATTGATTATATTTTTATTAAAAATTACTTATACTTAATTAATTTTACTATTAAATTACTTGACTTATACAGTACTAATAGTAAATTACTTTATTTTTTAGATTATTAAACACAATTACTACATCTAAATAACATATATTTTACTTAAAATTATTATAAATAGTAATAACTTCATTATAAATAATCTACTTTTTAAATAATAATAAATAAATAGTTTATATTTGTTTACAAAAATGTAAACAAACCATAAAAATAGTTTGTTATTGTATCCAAAAATGTAAACAAACCATAAAAATAGTTTGTTATTGTATCCAAAAATGTAAACAAACCATAAAAATAGTTTGTTATTGTATCCAAAAATGTAAACAAACCATAAAAATAGTTTGTTATTGTATTCAAAAATGTAAACAAACCATAAAAATAGTTTGTTATTGTATCCAAAAATGTAAAAAAAACCTTAAAAATAGTTTGTTATTGTATTCAAAAATGTAAACAAACCTTAAAAATAGTTTGTTATTGTATTCAAAAATGTTAACAAACCTTAAAAATAGTTTGTTATTGTATCCAAAAATGTAAACCATAAAAATAGTTTGTTATTGTATTCAAAAATGTAAACAAACCTTAAAAAAATAGTTTGTTATTGTATTCAAAAATGTAAACAAACCATAAAAATAGTTTATTATTGTATTAAAAAATGTAAACAAACCATAAAAATAGTTTGTTATTGTATTAAAAAATGTAAACAAACTAACCCTACTTTATAACTACTCGTAAACAAACTACCCTACTGTATAACTACTTGTAAACAAAACATATAAATAGTTTGTTATTGTATTCAAAAATGTAAACAAACCATAAAAATAGTTTGTTATTGTATTCAAAAATGTAAACAAACCTTAAAAATAGTTTGTTATTGTATTCAAAAATGTAAACAAACTACCCTACTTTATAACTACTCGTAAACAAACTACCCTACTGTATAACTACTTGTAAACAAAACATATAAATAGTTTATATTTGTTTACAAAAATGTAAACAAACCATAAAAATAGTTTGCTTTTGTATTAAAAAATGTAAACAAACCATAAAAATAGTTTGTTATTGTATTCAAAATCGTAAACAAACTACCCTACTTTATAACTACTCGTAAACAAACYACCCTACTGTATAACTACTTGTAAACAAAACATATAAATAGTTTGTTATTGTATCCAAAAATGTAAACAAACCATAAAAATAGTTTGTTATTGTATTCAAAAATGTAAACAAACCATAAAAATAGTTTGTTATTGTATTCAAAAATGTAAACAAACCTTAAAAATAGTTTGTTATTGTATTCAAAAATGTAAACAAACCTTAAAAATAGTTTGTTATTGTATTCAAAAATGTAAACAAACCTTAAAAATAGTTTGTTATTGTATTCAAAAATGTAAACAAACCTTAAAAATAGTTTGTTATTGTATCCAAAAATGTAAACAAACCATAAAAATAGTTTATTATTGTATCCAAAAATGTAAACAAACCATAAATATATTTGTTATTGTATTCAAAAAYGTAAACAAACCATAAAAATAGTTTATTATTGTATTCAAAAATGTAAACAAACCATAAATATAGTTTGTTATTGTATCCAAAAATGTAAAMAAACCATAAAAATAGTTTATTATTGTATCCAAAAATGTAAACAAACCATAAATATAGTTTATTATTGTATCCAAAAATGTAAACAAACCCTAAAAATAGTTTGTTATTGTATCCAAAAATGTAAACAAACCTTAAAAATAGTTTGTTATTGTATCCAAAAATGTAAACAAACCATAAAAATAGTTTGTTATTGTATTCAAAAATGTAAATAAAAACGTTAATTAACTATAAAAAAATTCATTGGTTATAAAAATGTATAAAGTATTTTATAATATAAATAAAGAAATTTTAATTAATTTGATAATTTTATTTATAAACAATAGCCATAAGGAATAGTTTGGTATACATCATGTGATTGTACTATTATACGTTTATCGGATACTGCTTGATATTTTTTATTAAATACTGCTGTGTTAATGTTATGAAATTTATCGCATCTAAATTGTTGTTGTGGTACTTGACGACTATCATAAATACCTCTACTGTATTTATCAGCAATATCTACTACTGTATAATAATTAACAATATGTTTAGCTTTTTCTGTTATTGCTAAACCTTTAACTTTCAATTTGTTTATTTCATTACCATTTGGTAACACGACTTTGTAACCATAGTTTTTTGGACCGCACGATACAAACTCCTTGATGTACGCTTCACTTCCAAAGTCTTTTTCTATTTCATCTGTAAGTTGACCCAAAAAATTACCAACTGTTGGTACACTCCAGTTTTGTGACGCGTTGTGTTTGAAGATAACAGAGTCGGTGTCAAAATATAATACACGTCCGTCAGCTTCTGATTCAATTGAATGTAGTATACTATACAGATGTAGTCTAGCGTAAGCAGTTACCATGGCAGCCAATGCCACTGATGTGTTACCAGGCTTTGATAAGATGTCGTCAACTAACTTATAGTTAACTATAAGTTTTTCACTATTGGGATGTACTTCACCTATTTATCAAATAATATAATTATTAATATATTAAATAATAACTAATTATAATATAATACCTGTTATTTTATACTTTGCATCAGTTAGCAAACTATAATAGTCATTATAATTTGAACATATTTTAACTTGACCCTGATTAGATAATTGGGCCAATTTTCCCCATAAACTATTGAGCATTAACTTAGATATTGTGCGCAAACCAGAGTTTTTAACCATATTATTGACATCTAATTCAACGTCTATATTAAAATATATTTATTAATTAAATATATCAAATAAATAAACAACATTTACCTTCTATTTCTTTAAATTCGCTGACAAAAGTATTTTTTTGCTCTTCAGTTACGCAATTGTCTGGCCATCCCGATGCCTCAGTTTTAATTTTTAAAAAAGTTTTAATATATGGAGAAAAAATTTCACTTGATTTTTCTTCGTAATTTAATACTTCAATAATTAAGTTAATTTTGTAACCAAAGTTTAATGCACATTTAAGCTCTTCACTAAACCACGTGCCAACTAACATCCGTTCACAATCTGAATGTACACAATAATCATCTGATTTCGATTCTAAACAAGTCTTACATAATGGAAAATAAAGTTTTCCATTATATCTTACGGGAAGTATTGGAATATATAACTGTTTTGGCGGAATTACGCGGCACTTAATAAATCCAAAATAATTATCAATTGAAGTATTAATAAAATCGGTTAAAACTGACGGGTGTCCAATAGGAAATAACCGTTTCGATAAGACATACGGGTAAAGACTAGTGACGTCTAAATACATTATTTTTTCATTTTGATTATTACATTTATAATTAAAGTATAAATTGTTAGTCCGGCCACCAAAAAACGCTTCTCTAATGTTTATTGGCTTGTATTTTTTCAAAGACTTGTAAACTAATTGTCTATTATTGACAAAGTCTGATATATTTTGTGGTAGACTTTCGAGTAAATCTTTGAACTGATGTCCCCATATTTGGACAACATTATAGCCACATCGCTGATAATATGAGAGCTTAAATAAATAAATACAAATTAATTTCAAAATAATAATTATATAACTAATTAATTACCTTTTTTATTGTCTCGTCATAGACTTCATCATATGATTTACGTCCTACACCGCGAGAAGCGTTTCTAATTTCTCCGTTAAAGCAAACATGACACCCATGCCAATAACACCCCCAATATTCATACACAGTGTTGGTTTCGTGACAGAAACCATCAGCAAATTCATTACCTAATTTCACTTCTCGAGCAATTTTTTTATTGATTTCATATTCTTTTAAATCTAGCCATACATTTCCGGATATTGATTTATTTCGGCGATTACTGTATCCTTCAAGTGGCGTCACTCCAATTATATTTTCTTGTAATACTTGTGTTCTAAAGTATTCCAATCCAACACCAGCTAAAGTAAACTTTCGAGTAATTGGATCTAATCCGGTGATATCTTTAAATAATTTGCGGAACTCCATTAAAGCCATAGTTAATATTTTGACGTCATTTTGACAATATTTAACTATTTCATGTTTAAAGTCCCATTGTTGACCTGATTGTATGTACTCTTCGTGCCATTTTTGACATGAATCAGCATTTGATGGTGACATGTGATCAATACCAAAATACTTAATATCAGGTATTCTACCTATGTATTGTGTTGGTATAAATTCTTCAGTGGGTTCAGTATTAAATAAATGAGGAAAATATCCTTTTGTGACAACGCTTTCAAATCCAAATGATTTCGGTAGCGATGCTAATGGTTGTTGAAACAAACACAAAGAGTCAATAAACTCAATATTGTAGTAAACCATTTTCAATATTTTCATTCCAGTCATAATAAGTTCGGGTTGTTTTTTCTTGTAATTAGAGTTAATTAATTCTTGCAATAAAAAATGACTATCATAGCCTTTAGCATTGTGTGCGAAAACATAAACTTTTGCATTGTTGTGTGAGTCAGCTGTTTGTGATAAGGATATTAGATAATCAAAAAACGACTTAACGCAACTTTTGTTCTGAAAAACTTGTTGACCTAAACCACATGTATTGCAATTATTTGTTGATTTTTGACGTGAATTTACATCCCAACAGTTATCGCAAACACATTCTGATAATAAATAATGAAATTAATAAAAGTATTTATATATATTTATTTATTAAAAATGTTATCCGTTACCACAAGACTTGATTCGATATCATAACAAACTATAAATTTAATTTTGTCGTCTTCTTTCTTAAGTTTATCATGATTTAAAGGATTAATCATACAATTGTGTTGAGTCCATGAATTGTATTTGACACCACAATTGCGACACTTGAGATAGTTGCATTGATGTTTATTGATTTTGTCCACTTTATACCAAACATCGCAGAGTTGACATTGTTTTCTCTCAAGACATATATTGTTGTTTATATGTTTATCATAACAAATATTTCCATTGAATGTTTTTTTACATACATCGCACTCGATTAACTGATCTATTGCTACTTTATCACATTTAACATTTGATCCACATAATGTACAATTTGTACATTTGTGATCAATTACATGATGTCTTGTATGACATTGATTGCAAACTTTTGTGTCATTTCTGTATGCATTAATGTTTTTAATAAAATTGTAATGACCAACTTTATTGAGTATAATATACTCAAGCCATATCTCATTGTCGGTGATTATATCTTCAGACTGATAAATAATGTTTTCATCATCAGAGGCATCAATAATCATAAGTTTATAAGGACCGATATTATTTAAATACTGCTGAATAACAGGAAAGTTATTAGCTTTAAGCGGTTGGTTGTAGTCTAAATTAGCGTTGAATTGACGATTTATTTTTGCCACAAGATCTTGAGCTCCATTACGCTGTGGTAAATCTCCATAACTTTGACCAATTAATCTTTTCCACTCTTGATTGTTATGAAGTCTTGAAGTATTAAAACCCATTGCAAACCATTGAATACCCACATAAATAGCTCTATATCCGCAGCTATTATCTATATTGGTATTAATAAAAATTTAATAAAGTAATTATTATATAATAAAAATACATACCACTATTGTTAATTGAGACCACAGAGCGCTTTCTAATGCTTTTTTGGACTGTTGTCTCTGGAGCTTTAGTTTTGCGTCCACTTCCCTTAAGCGTTTCCGTTACATATAAAGTAATATCAAAATTACTCATATAAAATGTTTGATTCGATTGAGCAATTTTGCTAATCAAACTCAGCGGTTCGTGTCGATCAAAGTTTTCAATTTTTCGGTTACCTTAAAATTAATGTTTTAATTAATATCAATTTTATTATAATTATTTAAATTACCGATAAATATTGGTTTGTTGAGGTCTTCATTTGACATAATTAATGTAAAGAAATCTTCACCAGAATGTTTTTGAAATATCGGTAAACAAACATCAGCAATGGCTTCCGAAAACTCTTCTTCAATATCGTTAAATCCATTCAAATCTCTTAAATTGTGGTTAAATTTAATTCGCTGAGTGTACTGTTTGCGCTTGAATTTGTCATAAGATTGGATTTGAGGTTGACGGTTAAATGAATATACTAATTGACCTTGTGGTTCATTATTAGTCATCAGATCTTCTTCATCTTCATTTCGAGGGTCAGGAGCTCCGGAAATCATTGCTTCATTATCATCATGAGAGTGTTCACCGCCATATTGTGTATTGACTGATATATATATAATTATTAAAAATTTATAATTATAATTTAATAATTAATTACCTCTGGGATCCGGTTCAGCATCTGAATTTTGTGAAACATTATTCATATAAGTACCATTGCTGTCATCTAATCGAGGGTCAACACCGTTATTGCTAACAATGCTTTCATTTCCACCATTTTCTTTGTTATTGTTTTGAACATCAAAACCATCATTTTTGTCTTGTTTCACACTTTTTAACCACTCGTTAACATTAGCGCCTTCAGGCATTGTACTTAATGAGTCTAATGCCTGACCCCATGACATACCATCTGGTATGTCGTCCACGTGTTGACTTAACAACTGAAACACTAAATAAAAAATAATTAGTTAATTATTACATTAATTATAAAATTATCTGCTTACATTCACCCATACGGCGCTTATTACTTGTATTGACATCAGATGCTGATCGTTTCGACATAATTACAAAAACAATTAAAACTCAAACAATTATTATCAAAAAGTAATATTTATAATAGTTGATGTGAACACTACAAGAGCACAAAAACAAGTGTGTAGTTCAAGTTCAAGTGCAGCTTATATATTGAAACCTGTTATTGACATTGACATTGACTGCGCAGTAAACAAAATACATCTACATTTTTTATTATTGTAATGCTTGTTATTAGAGAGCTACATGTATATTATTAGTATATTGTAATTTTTATTTATAAATAATATATAAGCTAAATATTACTTAATTATTATTTTTAAATTAGATAATTATGAATACAGTAAAAATTCAAACAAAACATTTATGTTTCAAACATCCATTTACTTGTATGACTGCAGGTCCTACAAGTAGCGGGAAAACTGTACTAATACGCAATATACTAGAACATTACAGGAAATCATTATATTTTGAAACTACACCTACAGTGTTAAAAGTCATGTGGGCTTACGGTCAGTGGCAAAACTTGTATGAAAAACCTATAAATAATTGTGACGTAAAATATATAGAAGGTCTACCTTCCGAAGATGACGTCAAAGAGTATGGACCTCATATTATTATAGTTGATGATCTTATGACAGAGTTAGGCAATAACATTACATTAGCAAATTTATTCACTAAAGGGAGCCACCATTTAAATATAAGTGTTGTTTTTATTGCACAAAATATTTTCCACCAGGGGTCGCAAATGAGAACAATTAGCATAAATTGTCATTATTTGATACTTTTGAAAAATCCCAGAGATAAGCGACAAATAATATCATTGGCTTCACAAATATATCCAAATAAATCTAAATTTTTAATTGATGCTTATAATGATGCAACATCTATACAATATGGTTATATAAGAGTTGACTTAAAACAAGACACTCCAGAAAAATATAGAATACAGACAAATATAATACCTGTAGATAATATATTGGCTCCTATTGCTTATGTACCTAAATAATGTCTGAAAATTTAAAAAAGTATTGTCATGACTTGAAATTTATTGCAAAATTACAGTCACCTAAAGCACAAAAATATATATTAAAATATATGTCCCGCGACCGTAATTTTTATTTAGCACTTAAAGAAATAGTCGTAAATATTATAAAAGGTAATATAATATTGGATAAAATTAATGCATCTAAAATACTTAAACATAAAAAATTGTTTAATAAATTTAATAAACCTAATAAAATATCAGTGTCAAAAAAGTTGGTTGTGCAAAGCGGCGGTTGGTTGTGGTTAATACCGATAGTTACGTCAATTATTGATTTAATTACATAATGTCATTTCGAAAAATTCAATTAGTATCAGATAGTGATCCTATTACTGAAACTAAACTTAATAAAGTAATTATACCTCATAAAACAGAAAATAATATAAATGAAAAGTTTATAAAAATAATTGAAGATATTGTACAAAAAATTTTATTAAAAAAGTCTTATAAAACATCTGTTAAATCAATAGTAAAAAATACAATATCTAAAGTGAACCCTACATTATCAAAAAACAAAAAATCTATTAAAAATAAATTTATTAGTAAACTCAAACCTACTAAACATTTAAAAAAAGTTATACCAAATAAATCTGTAGATAATTGGTATAAGTTATGATCGATCAAATACTATCAAAAATTTATTATAATACTAAGCATAATGCATCATTTAGTTCAATTAATAAATTATTTATAGCTGCTAATAAAATAGATAGTAGTATAACTCTAAAAGATGTAAAAAATTGGTTATCTAAACAATTAACATATACACTTCATAAGCCAGTGATCAAAAACTTTAAACGTAATCGTATAGTAGTTAAACATATTAATCAGCAATGGGAGGCTGATTTGGTTGATATGAAAGAATTTAGCGGTACTAATAAACACTATACATATTTATTAACTGTTATTGATTGTTTTAGTAAATATGCTTATGCAATACCGCTAAAAAATAAAAATGCAAAAACAATAACTAGTGTTTTTACAAATATTTTTAAAAAACAAAAACCTTTAGCTTTAAGAACAGATAAAGGTAAAGAGTTTATTAATAGCGATTTACAAAAATTACTGAAAGAGCTAAACATTAACTACTTCACATCTAATGATCATCGAATTAAATGTGCTATTGTTGAGCGTTTTAACCGTACACTTAAAACACGTATGTTTAAGTATTTTACTGCCAAAGGTACACGTAAATATATTGACGTCATTAAGGATTTTGTTGACACATATAATTCATCATATCATCGATCAATTAAAATGCGCCCAATAGATGTCTCTACTACTAATGAAAAACTTGTGTATAACAACCTGTTCTCTAAAACTAAATTAACCCCAAACAAAATAAATACTGGTGATAAAGTAAGACGAGTATATGACATGAAAGCATTTGATAAAGGATATTACCCTAGTTGGACAGACCAAATATTTACTGTTGAAAATACTATAAAAGGTGATAAACAGTATGTTTTTAAGCTAAGAGATGAACAGGGAAATATACTTGAGCAGCGCTTTTATCCCCAGGAATTGCAACAAATTACTGATAATCTGTACAGAATTGAAAAAGTTATTAAAAAACGTAAACGCCGTGGAAAAACTGAATACTTTGTAAAGTGGTTAAACTATCCGGAAAGCTATAATAGTTGGACAGATAATATTGAAAATGTTTCGTAACAAAAAAGTTTGTCCATCAGACTTAATATTATTTTCAATACAAGTATTTTTAATAACATTAGTAATTGTCGTTAGTTTAGTTAATCTATCATTTGATTTCGGCAATAAAAATTTGTGGACAATCATATTGACCAGCGCATTGGGATATATATTACCTAATCCAAGATTACGTATTTGCAATAAAGTTATAAAAGATGTCACAAATAACGATTTGTAAAATAATATCTATTTTAATAACTTTATTAATTATTGTTTTAGTTTTAATTATTTTTTTATATAATAATAAAATTCATCAATCCAAGTGGAATTGTACAAAATTAAATTATACTATAATTTGTGAATAAAATGAGTTCATATATTACTTTGAGTTCTAATGTTAGTACCGGTGACAATACATTAAGCGATTTCCGAACTAAATTAGGTGCTGTAATGAAATTTGATCCACAAAATGATTTATTGACAAGTATACCAAAATATACTGATTGGTTAGTTGGTATAACAGAAATATCATATACAAAATCATGGTATAATATTTTAAATGACTATAAAGTATCTCTATATGATGAGATGGGTAATATCTACAATAATGACTCCAATATTTATACAATTAAAGCCGGTTTTTATGAACGACCATCAAATTTAATTAGTGAAATAAATAGTATATTTGCTAAATTTAAAGGAATTGTACCTCCAAAACTGATATATAATGAATTAAATAATTACGTAACATTAATATGTGGGAAACTTGAAGACTCTGTTAGAGTATTTGTTAACTTGGGTGATGAGATTGAATGTTTGTTAGGACTTAAAAATAGAAATAATTACTATAATTATTATAATACTGAAAATGCAATTAATGATTATACAGTTAATAATGTATATACAAATGATGAAGTGAAAGCTCATCATCCAGTAGAAATATCTGGTGGATATCATTTATTATACTTATACACTGATATTGTATATCCATCTCTTGTTGGTGACACATTTGCACCATTGCTACGTGTAGTTGAAATACCACGTAAATCTAAATTTGGTGATACAGTGCACTTAAATTATGAGACACCACAATACAGACCCGTTAGACTAAATCAATTTGACACAATTAAAATCTATATAAGAGACGACAGTGGAAGACCTATACCATTTAAATTCGGTAGAGTTACATTGACTTTACATATTAAAAAAGTATAAAAGATGGATAACCCATACATTGATTATTATAAATCGCAAGCCGGTAACGGTATAGTAGTATATAGTGGTCACAGATATCAAGGTGGTAATGGTATATTTGGTAAAATTTTTAAACACATACAACCAGCACTAAAATATATAGCAAAACAAGGTTGGGAAGCATTTCAAGGTATAGGTAGTGAAGTATTAAGAGGTAAATCACTAGGTGACGCCAGTAAAAACCAATTACTTAAAACTGCTGATACAGTACTCAGTGACGTAAGTGATAAACTCAGTACAATGAAGCGTCAAAGAGGTATGGGTATTAGAAGAAGAAGACGCAAGCGCAGAATAAATAAATCTAAACGTAAAGTCACTAAAAAAGTATATAAAAGACGTAAACGTAGTCGTAAATCAGGAAGAAAACCAACACTAATATAATGACTACTATTCATCCATTGTCGTCTTTAATGACTTTACCGGAGTTGGATATATTTGGTGTCCCTCCAACTCAATTAATGATTGAAAAAGATATACAAACAGATCACAGACCGCTAACTACAATAAAAGCTGATTCACCCATTGAATTTGAAATAACTACTGGAATCAATGAATATATCAATTTAAATAAATCTGAATTGTACCTATGTTTGCAAATTGAGTTAACTAAAACTGAATCACCCGATATTACGGCTGACGATTGGAAAAAAATATCACCCGTTAATTATTTATTAAACTCATTTATAAAACAAATAGATGTAAAAATAGGTCAAACAACTATCACCAGTTCATCTATTAATTATCCATATATTGCTTATTTTGATGCATTACTTAATACATCTTCTCAATCAAAGTCAACACATATGCAAACATCAATGTGGGTTAAAGATAGTTACCCATTTAATGATCATAACTTAGAGCGACAAAAACGGTTATCACCAAAAGGTAAAAAACTAGCAGTTAGCCGTCATATTGAATTGTATGGAAAATTACATTTGGATTTATCTCAACAATTAAAATCACTAATAGGTGGTGTAACTATTAATATAAAAATACATCCAAACTCTCCCGATTTCTACTTAATGTATGATAAATCTATTGTTCCAAAAGTTAACATTATAGATACTAGACTTTATATTCATCGGTCAATTGTTCATTCACAAGTAGTACTAGCACATAATAAAATGCTTGAAGAAGATAAACCTGCACTATATTTTATTACCCGCCGTGAAGTAAAAACATGTACTATACCAAAGGATAGTATTGATTATTGTTTGAATAATGTTGAGAGTGGTGTTCTACCTAGGAAGCTGTATATATCATTTGTTAGTAATGATGCTTATAACGGCTCTCAAACACTTAATCCATTTTATTTTAAACACTATAGTTTACGGCATATTGCTTGTTATTTAAATGGTCAACAGTACCCGCATAAACCGTATACACCTGACTTTCAAAATGATAAATATATTAGAGAATACTTTAGTTTATTTGAAGTTAGTAATCAGCTGAGCCATACTACTTGTGACATTACAAAAGATGAATTTGCCGAAGGTTTTTCAATATTTGCATTTAATTTCATACCTGACCTATCAGATGGCGTTGCAAAAAGTGGTTATGTATCTCCATTACAAAGAGGTGGACTTAGAATTGAATTAAAATTTAATTACCCTTTAGCCGAACAAATAACTGCTTTAATATATTGTGAATACGATAGTTTAATTGAAATACAGAAAAACCGATTTGCTGTTAAAGACTTTTCATGAATACATTAGAAATAAATAAATATTTTCGTAGCTGTATCAAGTATTATGGCACCTATCCTAGAGATGAATTACCTAATACTATACCTAATAACAGTGGATTAATTGTAAATACAGATAAAGCTAATCAACCAGGAGAACATTGGGTTGCAATATATAAATATAATAACAGTGTAGTTTATTTTGATTCATTTGGCTTACCCCCACTACACAAAGAAATCATAAACTTTATAAAAGACAACAGTAGTAGTGGTTGGTTCTATAACACTATTAATTTTCAAAGTGTATACTCAACTACATGTGGAAAATATTGTGTATTTTTTCTATCAAATTATTTCAATGGCGCGAACTTTGATAACTTTTGTAAAATATTTACTTTCAGTAGTGATATTAATGATAAGTTGGCAGATATGTTATACAGATGGCAGCTGTAGCTTATCACATTTGTATAAAGATATACGTCAGTATAGAGTGGTTTATAAACAAATGGAGAAACTATATGACGAAAAACTATTGATAGTTTTGAGTGACGCAAATCTACACGCGCCATATTTGGTTGAACCGTCAACATATTTTTCAAAGGAAATTAAAAAATACTTTATAGAAGAAGGCAAGCAATTAAATGATATAAAAGACTTGGAAGAGTTGCTAAAATTGCTAAACTACTTAAACTTTAGTAATTTTCGTACGGAAAGACATAATTTTTTAGTAAGTAATGGAAAAAATTAATCAAATATGCGGTGTTATGGATGCACAGGGTTTCACTGTTGATGGCGTGTTTTATCCGCGGGAAGTATGTGTGTTATCACATACACTTAAACAGTGTGAACTGTGTGACACAGACCTTCGCTTTGTTGATATGGACCTTAAAGACCGTATAACTAATTTATATTTGGCTAACAATCTGTTTGGCTTTTCATTGAGAGCCCACAACACCGATATCACTCACAACTCATCTCTCGAACCTAATCAAGTGATATATATGATGTATCATAAAATTAAATCACACGATAAACCATATTTGGCCATAAAAAACCAACAATTGGCAATTATATTGGACTTATGGAAAATACCGTATATTAATCTCAATGAATACAAATGTCCCAACTATTCAAAACTTAAACAATTTTATGGTGGTCTCCCGTGTCATTTTCACAATAGAATTGTTCCCGATCGAAAACTCCTGCGCTGCGCTTCAAATAAATGCAATTTATTATGGAAATGGCTAAATAATTATTATCAATCACATTAATTTTTTTATTCAATAAATTTATTTATGTAATTACAATATTGTCTTTAATTAATTTAGTATAAGTATATATAATTAAATTATTTTTACAGTATTTATTCAATGGAGGTCCAAACATTGATACAGTAATTGTTTTGTCGGGGTAAGTCTCAGCTTTAAGTACCAATAAATCAAATAATCGTTGATTAAACCCGTATTCCATTAAAACGTATGTGGTTATATTTGGTTTCATTATTAGCGGCTTTAGATATTTGTCAACATTTAAATATATGTTTATACTTGTGTTGAGTATAACGGTTTCACAAATATCCATCATTTTTGTCTTAAATATATTTATACAAAACGGCTCTAGCATTCTGTGAGCAATAAATAATTTAAATTTTCTAACATAAAGACATTTGAATCCTGAGTTGACAAAATCAAACGGTGACAAGAAGTGTCCTTTTATGAAAAGCATTTTCAATGAGTACCGAACCATCTTATAATCGTCATACATCTCAATATTGTGTGATGAATTTAATGTAAACTGAATTTTATTTGGTGTAGTAGGCATAACATTGTACAGTTCTATGGCGTTGTAAAAGTCGACAAAATTCAATCTTAAATTAGTGATATTTTGATTATTTATAATTGACTTCCAATTTCCTTGACATAACTTTTGATCCACACTGAGAACTTTTAGTTGAGGTAGAGTCGCCAAATGGTTACATACAGTATTTCTATCAACTGATCCACCTACGTGTAATTCAATGGCTTTAGAACCGAATTTATTAATAAACTCAATAAACTGATTCATATTCTTGAAATTAATTGTGTTCATATAACGTATAGCTTTTATCCGTTCTGGAAAGTTTTGACGAAGTATCCCCCGAACATTCTCTATTGCTAAGCATTGAACGGCCGTATAAATATTAATTTGCTTCAAATGACGAAACGAATTAAAAAACGTCTCATTAAATCGATAAAACACATCAAATTCCAATAGTTTGATTTGCTTAAAATCTTGTGATACTTTTTGTAATGATTCTCGATAACCATCTGACCAAAGACTTATACTATTGTGGTCTACATCCCATTCATCATCAAACTCAGCAATTCTGAGTGTTTGTTGATTTGTAAATATCATTCGTTGCCATTGTTTACTAACAGTAAGTAAAGTAACTTTACTTTTTGCAGGTAAGTGTTTTATTATTAGTCCACACAAGTCGTCACCATAACGATCAAAACTATCGCGACCATACACTTTAGTCATTTTAAAGCAACTAAACACTTACTTGAAAAACACATTTGCTTTTATGACAGTGAAACTCAATAAAATAAACATTGATGAAATTTAAATCTCTTTATTTAATTATTAGTATACATTTTAAATATTTCATCATTAAGTATAATTATATTTTTGATCTCATATGACGTCAAACTAACACTAGCATATGTTAAGAGGCATTTTACAACAATAATGTTGTAAAAACCTTTATCATCTTTCTTGAACTTAATAGTCCTATCAATATCTCCAATGTCTTCAATATTGCCATCAATCCCTTTTGCTTTAATATCTTCAATTAGATGACGAAACTCGTCCACATTTAAGTTAACACCGCGTTTCGTATATTGTAATTTCTCATCTTCATTAGCAAAAGCCAGTCGTATATCCACACGCATTTGGTCTTCTGATTTACTCAATCGAATAACTTTTTTGAAATTAGATTTTTTATTTGTAATAATATGAGTGTAAACGTGCTCATAGTTAAAAACTCTTTTAGGCGTATCAACAATACTTGTAGACATTTTGATTGTTATTTGTATTGCTTTTGACTTTTACTTTTACAGTCTTATATATAATGCTACTTATATACTGTTATTTATTTTTAACTACTATATAAGACTAATTAATGTTGATGTAGTATATCTCTCATCAAGTATAATAGTACTATAATGAGCACTAAAATAATTCCCGGTTGTGATGGCTACGCTAAAGTCATTAAATTAGTTGCTGTTAAAAATAAAAATAGTGTAATACAATTAATTAAAATAACTCAGCATAGCCCTAGTTATAGACCATTATTGAGTGTTTGTCTAAAATTAGATCAATATTTATGGCTCGTGGGAAAACTAAAACAACGAAATAGTGGTTATCGTAATGAGAAAAATAATGAGCTATACATCACTAGAGACCCATATTTAAAACTGACAATACTTTATCAAAAACAACTGAAAATAGCTGCAATGATACTAACTAGAATGGATATTAAACACATAATTAAATTAAAACCTTGGATATGGAATAAATTTGTAGCTATTGAGTCAACGATTACACCTATTCAGGAAATAGTACCTGAAGAGTCAATGGACTTGGAATCAGAACCAATCACTATTGAGTTAACATAATAAATGCATATATCATTGTATTTATAACCAATAAAAATAAGTTTTAATTACATCAACATTTATTTACTTTGTATATAAATACAGTAGTTAACTTTTATTTTACCATTGAAAATGTCTCACACAGAAGTTTCTGGTTTTTTTCTAACTCTTAGTACTACTAATAATTTCAAAAGAGTAGTATCAGTAAAATGTGTTTTACATTTGAATTCAACACTTTTTTATATTATCATAACCGACCTAAAAGATGGTAAAATGTTTGATGATCTGCTGGTAATTCAATCCGACGACTTTTTTAATCTTATACGAGAAATTGTGTTTAAAGAGAAAAAAGTTGGTACCGTCAATGTGTCCTTTGGCTCACTTCAATTTGTTACAGACAATCACAACAATAGTGTATCAATTTTTCACCGCAACTACAGCAAAAATAATTTGGTGAATTTGCGATATAAAGAGCTGGAACTACTGTTTAACGAAAAAGACAATATTCTTAAACAAATTGACGACATCGCGGATAAAACATCAAAATTTGTCAATCATCAGCAAAATACACGATCGCTTCTTCCAACGCCACCTGGAATTAAAACTAAAAGCTATTTCGATGAAGTGTGGTCTTGGCCTGAAATTCCGGTTTCAACCAGCACAGGTATTGCGTCTACAGAAAACACTGGGAATGACGTATGTGGTATTCACCCTATGCCCATCAAACGTCCAACAAGTTTACCTCTTAGCAGTAGTCTTAATATTCTTATGAATAAAAATGTTAACAAATAATGATTTACAAATTACTAATGTATCTATGACTGCTAATTTGTTTAATTTTAATAAAGTATTGAATTTACGAAAAATTACAAATTGTTTGAATAATTGTGTGTATGATAATAAAAAATTTGTTCGCTTAATTGTGCGCTTAAGAAAACCAAAGGCAACAATTATGTTATATCAATCGGGAAAATTAATATGTATTGGGACTAATTCAGTTGATAACGGTAGAATAGCCATAAGAAGATTTGCGCGTATGATTCAAAAGCTCGGTTTTGATGTCCAACTAAACAATGTTACGGTAACTAATATGGTGGCTACTTTTGCACTTAACCGATCAATAAATCTGGCGGACTATGGATCATTTATTGGTATTCGGGCCTATTATCAACCTCAGAGGTTTCCATTATTGATCATTAACTACGGTGACAAGAAAAAAGCAAACATCTCCCGTACGGGTAAAGTTAATTTTACTGGTGTTAAATCATTATCTGAATTGAATGATTTATTTTATACATTTTATTTAGATTATTTAATTTATTAGTTTTTAAAAAATGTAAAATTTATTTATTTTTTGCATGTAAACAAACAAGTGTTTAGATGTAAA